AAGTACTAGAGCAGAAAAGACATTACTTGACTGGATCCCGGTAGATAGCCGAATGTGTGCTGTCTGTCTGAACGGATCAGTGAAAAGGAGAAAGGACTGCACTACTCGCCGATGCCTTTTCGTAATCTCCGCCTACGCCCCCACTGACTGCAGTTCGGATGAAACGAAGGATGAGTTCTACCAAAAGCTGTTTAGTTTGCTGCGAAAGGCTAAACGCTCAGGTATAGTCGTTTTAGCTGGTGACTTTAATGCTCAAATGGGGAAATTGTGTCAATCTGAGAAGAATGTCGGTGGCACATACGGTATTCCGTGCCAGCGAACCGACAACAGTGACCGTCTCCTACAGTTCTGTTCAGATAATCATTTGTATCTTGTAAGCACTAACTTCAAACACAAGGAGAGACACTGTTTGACCTGGCGACCCCCATCATCAAATCAACGCTGGACACAAATAGACCACATAGCAATAAGCTATCGTTGGCGTGGGTCGGTAGGAAATTGTCGCTCCTTCTGGAACACGTGTGTAGATACCGATCATGCACTGGTCCGCGCTCGTATGTGCTTACGACTGAACGGACGTAGGAAACAGCTGGCGGTAAACCCATCACGTCCCCAGCTCGACCAGGGAACTAAGTCCCTATTTGAGGAAGAACTAGCTAAACACATATCTGAGTTCGACAGCTGCGCTCACCCTGAAGAAGCCTGGAAAAATATTCAGTCAGCCATAGATACAGCAGTAAAAGCTGTGAATAAGGTAAATCCAAAGGTGAGTAAAAACCATTGGATTTCGACTGCCTCATCCGAACTGATAGATGCTAGAAGACTTAGACCGGCGAGCTCCAAATTCAATGAGGAGCGAAAGCTGCACAAAAAGAAACTTACGAAAAGTCTCCGCAAGGACCGTGAACAGTGGTGGTTGACAAAGGCGAAAGAGATGGAAAAAGCATTGGCGATAGGCAACACCAGACAACTATTCAGGCTTATCAGGGAAACAGGTGGTAAAAGGCAAATGATAAGCGAAACAATCTCCGAGAAAAATGGCACCATAATTAGCTCCCAGGATAGACGTCTGGAGCGCTGGAAAGAACACTATGAGGAGCAGTTTAATTGGCCCACAGCCACACTTAACCTGCCGGACATCCAACACCTCCCTGAATGGGAGATAGACACAGGTCCTCCGTCCTTAACTGAGGTTACTAAAGCTGTCACCAATCTGAAGCTAGGCAAAGCAGCGGGACCTGATTTATTGACTCCAGAGGTATTTAAGTACGGAGGAGACAGTTTACTGTCTGCGTTAACGGAGGTTCTAGGCAGCGTCTGGGAATCAGAGGAAGTCCCATCGGGTTGGTGTAAGTCACTGATCATCCCGATATATAGGAAGGGGGACAAGTCGTCTTGTGATAATCACAGAGGGATTAGCTTGACTAATATAGTATGTAAAATCCTAGGCTCAATAATACTGCATAGACTAGGTGGTGCTCGGGAGACACAAACACGAGAAAACCAGGCAGGTTTTAGGCCAGGTAGAGGGTGTATTGATCACATCTTCACCCTTCGACAGATTCTAGAACATAGGCATTCCTACCGGCGTCCAACAATCATTATATTTCTTGACCTAAAGGTGGCATTCGATTCTGTCGACCGGGAGGTTCTCTGGCGATGCTTGGCTGTAAAGGGAATGCCAAGAAAATACATTGCACTGATTAAGGCACTCTACTCATACTCATGCAGCCAGGTGAGGGCTTATGGCGAGTTGTCATCTGAAGTGGTGACGACTAGTGGCGTCCGTCAAGGATGCCCATTATCCCCATTCCTATTCAATTTCATCATAGACGTACTAATGGATTTAACCCTAACACACTTCAGCGACTCAGGGATTGACTTGCTACCAGGGAGTAATCTCGTTGACTTAGAATATGCGGACGATATAGTCCTTCTAGGCGAGGACTCTGACAAAATGCAGAGTCTACTGAACACCCTGAGCAACAATCTCCGTATGTTTGGCATGCGATTCGCCCCTGTAAAATGTAAGATGATGCTGCAGGATTGGACCTCATCGACCCCTAGATTAGAAATAGGAAGTGAAGTGGTAGAACACGTTGACCGCTTCAATTACTTGGGAAGTACCATCAGCCCCAACGGGTTGATCTCAGACGAAATTTCAGCACGAATACAGGGGGCTAGGTTCGCATTCGCCAGTTTTCGCCGTCTCTGGCGTAGACGCGATATCCGACTATCGACCAAAGGGCGTGTGTACTGCTCAACAGTCCGCTCCGTCCTCCTTTATGGCTGTGAGACCTGGCCATTGAGAGCAGAAGACATGAAAAGATTAGCTGTCTTCGATCATAGGTGTCTGCGTTCTATCTCCCGTGTGAAGTGGGATAATAAGGTGAGCAATATTGAGGTTAGACGTCGAGTGCTAGGTAAGGCGGGGAAATCAATCGACGAAACGGTGAAATTACTTCGACTGAGATGGTTAGGACATGTGCTACGTATGCCTAGTCATCGCCTTCCTCGACGGGCAATGTTAGCTGATATAGGGACAGGCTGGAAAAGAGCTAGCGGCGGTCAAACGAAAACATGGCACCAATCAATGAAATCTACAACAGTTAATCTACGCCACATAGGAAGATGTAGACTTCCTGGTTGGGGTCCTCGGGACGGTAAAAACCAATGGTTGGAAACAATTGGTGACATGGCTCAAAATCGTTCTCAGTGGCGCAGATGCATCCACTCCTTGTGACTTATGATTTCCAATTAAACTGTTTTGTTCTCCGTTATTACTATTCCTTTGTCTCACACCTCTGTTTACTGTTTCCATTATGCATTTCTTCTACTTCCTTCTCTTGCTTTGTGTGCTATATGGAGTGTGGCGACTTGAACTGCCGCACATATGTGCAAAGTTCTATGTCGAAAACCGACCGACCGATCTCATCTTTAGGATTTGACCGCTGCTAACACACTCAGCTTCTCATTCCACTTTCAATCATTATCCATTGAATCGGTGAAATTCTGTCCATTCATGCCTGTCTCAGACTTTCACACCAATTGAACCGTCAATCGTTAGTATTTTGTCCTAGTCTACCATGCCACAGATACTTGATTTCTTGAACAGTCACATCATCAATATCTATCTCAATTGACCTCAGCTTCATCTGGCTACCTGTTCTTCTCCGTTTCTTCCTAATGGCTTTACGTGTCAGCAGACGTCCTACGAAGACACCTGGTGGGATGATGGAAAAATACCTTCAACACTTTTCGAGTCCTTATGACAGATTTGAAACAAGCATGATGACATCAGTTAAGTGATCAGGTGTTCCTCAGGTGTCTGTGTTGCCTGCTATTATTTGGGTTGCATGATGCACTTACTAAACGTGCGACCAAACAGTTCAGACAATGAATGACTAGATGATATGGCAGGATATTTACCTGTGTATGAAATTTCTTGCTTGAAGAGCAATGGAGATTCAATTGAAATCTGATCCACACACGCCTTTCCATTTCCGAGGAAACAGCGCTAGTCACTGGTGTACTTATGTCTCATGGTTTTATACAAGTAGACTTATTTCAGTGCTCCAAATGTGTTTGCCAATATCTGGGTGTGGACTTTGCACTTCAGAAGCTGAAATGTGTAGTTGCAGACTGCAACAATTGTTCAGGTGCCATGATTACCCCTTCACTTAGCATGCAGAATGTGCACGTACATATCATACCACTATCTCCAATCTGGACATGTCCACTGCTACTTACGAAGCTATTGCTGAGTGGCTCACAGTCACCCTTGCACCAGGCGAAAATAGTCTCAATCATCCTAGTGTGTTAGATTCATTGGAATATGTCAATTATAGTAGAAGTGGTGTGAATGTGTCCAGGAGGAGAATGATGTCTCAGGATGTTAACTCCCTCTCCTCACTAATGTCTATTAGTCAAAATCATCGAGGACAATATTTTGGACATGAGTGTCCCGATCATGTCCTTAAGAGGACCACTCCTGAGGTGCAACGTTTACGTCCGGTTGAAAATCAATGACAATGACTGTTTAGAGAGAAATACGAAGTGGTGTTTAAGTAGTGTTTATTTAGTTTACTTTTAGACTGCTTCATTTCGACCCCAGAAATTAATGATTTATAACGACCCACTATTTCAAAGTTTCCATGTTCACTAAACACACATACAAAATGTCATCTTCATATGCAACAAAGATTTTGCCATCTAAGTGATAATATGGGAGTGCCACAATTGACACCATTCTGTTAGGTTGCATTCAAAGTCAGAGGTGTCTTTTTCAAACAGGAGATCTGATGTTCTAATATTGTTGAAGTGAAGTGGAATCTGTGGTTTGGATTCTGAAGTATCGCTTATCGAATCGTTTGGGCAATGCATTCTATCCGCCTATCTGCATTCGGAAAATGATGAATGGACATATGAAGATTTAAGTGCTCCGTTCGCTCAACTCAATGTGTGTTGATAAATTCAATTTGTCCTGTGAAAGTGGTTACATCGCCATCACATATCCCACATCTTTCTAATGCAATGTGATCATCAAAATGACGGTCACCATCACAGTTTTTGAGCACCTGATGAACTGATGTGACATAGTCTCACCCGTAATGTCATTCTAAATAATTCGTTGTTTGTGGCAAATGCGTAATATTTCGTTGCATGTTCATGGTGGAGGTATTAGCGACTCATATTCTTTTGCCTGACGCCTGTTTGCAAAGACGATTTGTTCAGTCTCATATTCTACCATAGTCCTGAATTCTTTACAACTCATCCGCTCCTCTTCCCACTAATTGCTTCACTACTATCCATACAACGTGTTAATTTCTTAAATTTCCCTGAGGTTTTCGCCACTCAACTTCTTTACACATATCAAGTTCACACTCAACTACTTGCTTGCTTCTCATAGAATGACAATTTCCAACTTGTCAGATTTCGAAGCCTTGCTTACACTGCGTCGTTGTCTATTGCTTCGCTCAAGCACTCCGTATTCTAGATGTCTATGTAGGGAGTTTGTAATGCTGCGTATCTCCGAACATTCTCTCAGAGTAATTGTTTCTCTGCCGATGACTACTATTATGATCATCATGAATATCGTTCCCACAATTATAGTCAACATTGCAACTGCAATGACTATCACCACCACCACAAATGTGGACGTTATGTTCAACATCCTCATTATGACCGTCATCGTGGTCATCGTCAAAAGCACCATTCCGGTTATCATAATCAACACAACAAACGCTATTATGGTAAATACCGTCATGATACGAAACAATACAAAGGTCATCGTGGCCGCCACCATAAAAACCGGCATTATTGATTCCATCGTTCATGAATACCAAATGTAGACATGAAAATCGATCGCTACCATGTGAGAATTCAGGTTACGCAAAGCGCTTTTATTTTTGGTGCATTATTAGCAATGAAATGTGTCCGAAAACTTGTCTAATAAATGGTCCTGTTTCACTGGGTTGTATATCTAATTAACGAATGAATGTGAATTTGATATAATTCCTCAGTAGAAAAAGGATACATAAACGAGTCTGCATATATCTGATTGGGTGCTATGAATAGTTGGTTATCACTCATGTGAACCATTAGTATGTGTGTTTGCCATTTTGAAATGATTTGAATTCTAGACGTCCACTTTGGTCACTTGAGACTGAGCTCGTCAGCCGTGGACCTCGATTCAATTGAGCTCAGAGAGCTGAATCATCTGAATGCCCCTGATTTCCAACTCTCTATTTGGGTAGCCTCACAATGCGTTAAATTAGATTCGCGAGTAGCAAATTACTTAGCGTTTTGCTTGACACGGTAAGTGACTGTTAGGAAATAAAACATTAATGCATTACGCTATACACTATTGATGGATTACGATGAGAGGTTGAAGACCACTGACATCATCCAGTGGAATGCATTTTACTGCATTCTACAGTAATGGGATGTTGTCTATTCTTCAACGCAATGAAGGTATTATTCACAGATTAAACATTTTCATACACAGGATTTCATACTCCATAAGAAATTAAGGATCTGTGAGACACATTCAAGTGTTCGCGGTTTTGACAGAAACTGACGATGCCTTTGGTCAACGAATAATTTTTGAGACCTTCTCTTACCATTGTGTTACTCTACAAGAAATCTTGCAGCAACAGTAATGTGTCCTGAATGTGAGGGATTCTATTAGTGCCTGGTACTTCTGTGTTGATAATACATCGTGTCTTCGCTTTTTCATAATCGATCTCTCGCTACCTTTTATTAGATGATAAGTTGGATTTTCCTACTTAGTCGTGAAGTTTCGTGGATCGACATATTCACCTGAGTAATGTAACATCAGATCAGGGAAATGTGATTTCTTTTTTTCCCTTATAAGCTCTGTTAACACGGATTAGATTCCCGAGTAGATTATTTCGGGTTAATGTGGCAGAGACACTTGTTACTAAGGTACCTTCGTCAAGTTTTATCCTGTTCTGCGGGCTGCAGATATCTCAGTTGATTGGAGCGTTTGTTTAACTGGGACTATGATGTATTCGACAGAAAATCGTTATATTTTCATCAGTTACTTGTTAATGACCAACACTTCCATTTAAACTCAGCCAATTTCGAACTTCATTTAATTTACACTCTTGTTCACTAGCCACCCAACATCGTTTCTGTCTCCACTCAATTTAGCAATAACCAACATTTGAATTATTGTGTTTTTGATTATTCGCTTTTTCCACTTGTTATTTTTTTGTCTGTGCACGCTATTTCTGTCCTTTTCTTCCTGGTTGAACTGACTACTCACTATCAATGAGATTGTCATTGGTTGCACGATAAATAACTGTATTTTGTTTTTGTAAGATGCATTTGTGGGTTGGATGTGTTAGGTGAGTATACGTTGAGAACTGCTACACAATTTGTCGTGTAATGCTTCGTCAGGAGGCAAATTAGTGACAGCTGGACGATAGACTATCGCAGGCATTCACAATAGTGTGTGTAGAATAAAAAACTTCAAAATGATATGAGCTCTATCACTTATTATCTTTCTATTATTAATAATGTTAGTTGCAGTAGTGTAAATACTTGTATTATATGTAGTGTATTTTTCACTTGAGTTTCGAGTGGATACTGACATTTGGCGGCATATTCCTATTTCACTCTGTTCACTGTAGTCTACCTTCACACATTCTCTCCACACCATGTTGACCATTTCACGTTATCTTCAGTGTGTGCCTAATCCATCTGGATTTATCTCTGCATATGTGTCCGGCAATAGGTTCTTCGTTCATTCCTGGTCAGAGACCCCTGTTGCTTATCAATTTTCGTCATCGAGATTTCAGTTCCATGTGAAGACAAATATCGTAACAGTGGTGTTCTGAAACATCTTAGATTCGGAAGAAATATAAATTCAGTGTAATTTTCGGTTCAATCATTTACTCAAGGACGTCGAAATCTGCTCTGAAACGTTTTATAATTTTACACGAAGTCTGGCAGTAACTTTCCCACCTAACGCCACTTAATCCTAAAATCTTACAGACGTGCACATGATTCTAGTATAGGTGTATCTAGAGTTGCATCATATAATTAAGAAACAGAGAAATCAGTTTACGTTTCTTGCAATAAACATTCTCCCACATGCAGAAAGCTATTCATTGTTGACAGGTCGACAATGATGATGACTTAAATAATAATGATGAATTTGATATCACAATTTCCTGGCTGAGTGATGTCAGGGCATCCAGAAAACCAGTTCATAACCAGTTGGTGCAAGCATGCATCAAGAGCCTGATAGAAATAATATTGACATATCATTGTGATATCCAGTTTCATAATAGTCTTGCGGGTAATACATAGAACATTTTAATGAATGTAAATTCGAAATTCGACAAGTGTGGATGGATCAGTAAACATCTATGCACCCTAAGGAAATACGCTTCGATTTCAAATAGAGACTAATTGAAATCACCAGGCAGATGACTTTAAGATTTTGAATACATTTCTAAATATCCAATAAATTTCAAGGAAGGTATTTCATTTTTGTAAACGAGTTAATATATATTTTCACTGGTGACTGCATACACATTTGTCGTATAAGGGGAAAATCGCATCATCACCCAATTCAGACTTCATGAAAAGCTAGAATGAATCACACCAAGTTTTTCAAAAGGACAAGTAGCGTATATGATTTTTCGCATAAATCAATAAGTGAATTTCAATTTCTACCATTATTTATATCTTCACGAAGGCGCTTCTCACTGCAGATGGTACATAGTACCAGTGGTGTGTGAACTGCTTGAATCTACAACTTTTCCAAAACGAGTGGTTTCTAGTCAGATGAACGTGAACTGAACACTGAGAAATCGTGTCGCTTGATTTAGATCTATGTCACCAACCATGCATCCTGACTGTCTCCACTCAGAAAACCGAATCATTTCAAACCACCTGGATTAAACATACCCATCCACGTTTAGAACAAAATTATACATTAAATTCTACAGGTCTTTTTCAAATTACCTAATCCAAGGTAAGAAGCCACAATGGTTACCCTAATTATATCAATATATTCAAATCGTGAAAACTGTAATTAGTATTGAACAATTTGAATGAATGACGAAGAAATCAGCGGAATGATCAAGTCTCAAAATACAGTAACCAAATATGAAAATTTTATGCTAACATGAATACAACACCGACGAATTGAAATGTTTCACCACGTTTCTGAAAAACGTTAGTCAGTGAACGAAACAATCAAGTATTGATTCCAGGATCCAATGACTCTAAGAGTTAATACGAGTCCGCTATTCAAATTTTAATATACGGTAAAAAGCGAGTATTATGTTTTCACATTAGTTTCCGTAAAGCACACAAATACCTATATGCATTTCAACTTTGTCAGTGTGTTATGAACAAGTGTCTTTCTCGCGCATGATCACCTTCATATCATCAATGGGCACGCGGTGTACTCGTTGCTTCCCAGGTTTCACTCTACGTCCTGTTGGGGGCACGGTGTTCAATGGTCTGCTATGCACTCATCGAATTCTTCGTGCACTTTCTCAGTGCTGTTGGAGGAATTCCGTGTGATTGTTTCGCTGCCTCTCTCTCTGGTCTTCAGTAAGTGCGTAGCCTTCAGTGCTTTTGGTTTCTTCTGAGGTTTGGTGTTAATTGGCAGCCCTTTGTCTGCTAGTGGCATTGACTGATAAGTTGCAGGTGATGGTAATGTTTAAATTATCTTGGATATATATATATATATGCAGGATGTTGAATATATCAATGAAATAAGTGACTTTTTACACATTTCTCTCACTGACTGAGGTCAAAGCTTATGGTTAGTTAGGTGTCTGTATCACTCTCTAAATTCTATCAGAGTAAAGTATTCAATGCCTGTCTCTTCTACACTCTTGTTTGTTTTCGCCTGCAGATCTTCTAGTTAGTGTGAAATTATGCCTGAAAAATACGCGAAGTTCAGATCTCCTCGTATCTTTCCATCGGTTCAGTGTATACACGTGTGGTCAGTCGATTGTCAATAGAATACCTTGTGCGAATCAAAACCAAGACACTCGATTATACCACAGTCACAATGTCGAAATTCATACATCCAATTGTGTGGCTCACAGAGACTAAAGTGAAGTTATATTTTGAGACTAGATTGTTTCGTTCATTTCTTCATCATTCGTTTGATTCTTTAATTGTGAATGCACACACGTACAGCTTCAGTGGCGACTTTGAGCATCATCAAGAGAAAAATTGACAGTCGGCTGTCAATTCAACATTGTGCTAAATACTGGATTCCAATGACTTTAACTGACAATGGTGCTGATCAGCATTTTTTGGCGTGAGTTTTCGAAATGATTCGAAACTCGATATATATATAAGGTAAAAAACTGGATCATAGTTTCATCAGGAGTTTACACTTCTCCGGGTGTGTTTACAAAAATTTTATTAGGTGTGTGTAGTTTTGATAATTAATGGTTGTATTATAGACGTTAGTTCATATCTACATACAGACAGGGTGCTGAATGCCCAACTGATTTAAATCTTCATGTGTACAACAGAAATGAGAGCGATATTCTTCACTTTATTTATTCCAGTATATCTCGAGTGTGTCAGGATGAATGCAGATTATGGTAAACTTTCGTTTTCACAGAAGTATATTTCATTTAGAGTTTGGTATAGTTATTTGTTTCTGAATAACTTAGATTTCATTGGGATTTTATTTGACACGTATCCCAATGAGATGACATGAAGACGTTTGATGCAATATCAGCCAGATACACACTCATTCACCCTCCCATCCATCAATGTACACGTCTGATATGTTTGGTATAATATTCTAGCAATCTTTTCTAATACT